AAAAATATATATATAATAATAATAATAATAAACCAAAAAATCCAAGTAGGTTCGGCCCGAGCCGGCTCGAGCCAAAAAAAGTTCGGTCTAAAAAAGCTAGGGCTCTACTCGTTGACATCGCTAAGTAGACGGGGGATTGGAAATTAAAACATTCATGTTATCGTTTCATTTACTTATTTATTTTTAAATATTAATTTTTATTTTCATCCTTAATTCTGAGCACCCCCTCTCATTTCCGCACTTTCTCACCTCGACCGATTTTCTTTTTCTTTTTCTTTTCTCCCTTTCGAATTTCCTTGTTATTTTCATCCTTTTATTTTATTGTCCGGACTGAAGTCGCTACTTACAAACACCGCTTTTCATAGGAGACAAGCAACTTTAGAAATCAACATTTCAGACTGTTTTGAACACCAGATTAGACCCTTCAGGATTTTCTCTCTCTTTGCGGGAAAATGGCGAAACCGGTGGCCGATTGGCGCAGCAACAGAGCGGCGGTTCAGGGAACAAATGACGACGCTTCCGCCAGCAAACTGTACGTTACTTCTCATTTTATATACTCTTTCGAGTTTCTTTTCATTTTCTCAATTTATTGCGATGAAATTCAAGAATCATAATTTAATCATTATACACACTCAAAACTCTCCAGCTTTGCTTGCATAAAGAAAGGATTTTTCTATCAAAAGAATAATGATAATAGCATATCAATTTTAATAAATTTCCTTTAGATTTATTTTAATTCCTTGAATTTTTAATTTATTAACAAGATAAATGAAGAGATTTAATGAAAGGGAAGAACAATGGATTGGTGGAATAAGACATACATTTTTTTTCTAGCAAATACTTGAAGCTAATTTTTATTATGACTTTAATACCGTGTTTGTTAGATTGTCTTATTCTATGGAACAAATTTTTCGGAAAGACAAATCATATTGATTGCTGGTCATTTTGGTATGTGATTAACCTATCAGATCTTTCAGTTATTCTATAATATTTTGGAGTAAAGGTTAGTGGCGGACCCAGCATCAAAGTTCAGCACGGGCGACGACTGTTGATCGTTGACCGTTGATCATTGATCGTCCGACAAGAATTGAGAAAATCAACAGAAGGAGAAACTGAATAATTGGCTTTAAAATCTAATTCTCTTTTGATATCAGACTAATTAAGAT